GAACTCTTCCAGTTAAGATTTCTGGTAAAACTCTTTCAGCTCCAAGTTAAACCATATTACAGCCAGTTTGTTGGGAAAGTTCATTTGATAGAACACCCATCACATCTAGGCAACCAACAACTTCAGTATCCAAATAATTATATTATTGACCATTCCTTTGATCAAGTGTCCTGTCTGTGCTGGGTTGATCAGAAATTCCTGGTTGCTTTCTTTCTCTTTATATGTTTGTTCTTATTTACATCTTTTAGATTCAGATGAATCCAAAAAGTTTACTTTGTGGCTTTTGACTCTAACTCCAATAGCAAATCTGGACACATGCATTGATCTGCATTTGCTATTGATCTCTCCCCTTATTGGCTAATTTAGATATTTGATTTTTAATAATATTTAGCAATCCAAACGGTAACTTAATGAACATAAGAAGGAGAAAAAAAAAATATTTAATTCCTTGTTTCACATATGAACAGACAAAACCACTGCTATTTTTTCTGTATTTCATATGTCTAATTTGTTGTAGGATTTTTCAACATCAGAGTAAGGCACAACCATTTATGCCAGCAAAAGCAAATCACAGGCCTACAATTTCATACTGTCAGAATTTTCATGGAGTCATTGTATATTTATCTTTGGTCTTACAACCTCCAGTACTGAACAAGAAATATGCAATGTGTATGTATAAATTCAACACTAACTCAAATTCTTTTGGACTGTGATCCAAAAAAATGTTACCCACTTAGTATCTTATTCCTATGAAAATAAAATTATGTTATTATCCTGTTTGTGGTCAAACATTGGAATAGGTTGCCCACAGATGCTGTGGAGTCTCCATCTCTGGAGAGATTTTGTCTGGGCACAGTCCTGGGCAGCCTACTGTAGGTGACTTTGCCTGAGCAGCATGTTGAACTAGATGATCTAGAAGGTCCCTTCCACAATGATTCTGTGATTCAGTTTAATAGAATTTAACAGGCAAGATAATTTATATTCCTATCATACATTCTCTTGACATAATGAATGGGATTTTTCTTTTTTGTGTAACAGATCTACTTTAAAATGTAAGTAAAAAATTTTAAAAAGATCCCACAATGACTCCATAATGAAACAGTCTTTTTGATAAAGCTGTCATAGAACTGATTGTAATAAAATCTGTCACAGAGAGAAAGGCCATGCTTATCCCTCCAGTCTGTGATAATAACTGATGATGTGATCCACAGGTAGAAAATTCTATTTAACTTGCTATTTCTGCATTGTTTTTAACCTGGTGATTACTACCAAAAAATGAACAAATGCATTAATTATGCTGATAAGCACAGGAGATTAATAAGAAATTGAAAATCCGTAGAGTAAAAAAGATTCAAACATGAAAACCTGGTCAAAAATTGATTAGTACATCAGAATATCTGTAAGACATGCCATGAGCAAGATATTCAGAGAGCCTATGTGTCCATTGCCATACTGAAAACCCCAGGTAAGTACCTGAATTGTTATAACTGCATGAAAATGGCAGCAGTGTCTTCCAAGTCATCTAACAATGAAGTTACAGTCTTAATAAACAAAAAAAATAGATAAAGCTCTGATCTTGAAGATGTGTCTTCTTAATATCTATCAAAAGGCCTCTACTAGTATATGAAAGTACATTGCAGAGGATGTGCTTATAAAAATTAACTGTATGTATATACAATTGCATTGATATGTTCCTTTTTAAAAGTACATGTTTTTAACAAAAAAAAATTGGGCTTAGTTTACCCATTATTAACACGCTATAATACTGTCCAGGTATTTTGACATGCTGGAATTTGGGAGCACAGGTCATGCTGCAGCCATGGTCAAGAAGCTCTAGTTATTAAATTTTGACTTGAATTCATAGCAGCACTTCAAGACACTTGGATGGCATCGTGGTTGCACCAGGAAAGAGATCAGTGCAAGTACCTGTAGCACAGGGCCTTCCTTATGTTGATGAGATTTTCCACAGCAAAGCATCACAAGCTCGTATCAACACAAAGTAGGTAGAGTAGCTATATTAGTTAGCCACTAATGGAACTGGCCAAATGCTAAAAGTGAGCAAAGATGATCATCAAAGACATGGCAAAACATGCCTGCTGAATTTATATGTTGCAATGCTAATGAAAAAATCTGTTCTTTCTGAAATGGTCAGTGCCTTTCCTCACTGCTCACAAAGCCCATGCCTTGCCTGTAAAATCCTCAGCTTTAACTATAGTGCTTGCCTGCATTTTGCTTCACAGTTGTGGTCTAGACTTACATTAGGAACTTCTCTGGAAAACATGTTGCTCTAATTCTTGTGAAAGCAGTGAGAATTCAGAAGCAGATGGATTTTTGAGGAACGCTTTCTGTGCTGAAGATCTCTGATTCTTGTAAGGACAAACAAGTAAAGACTTATCCTGCTCTCAGTACAAGGCAGAGGAAATCACTGGCATCAGATTAGTACTGCTACCACATGGGAATACAGATAAACAGACTTAGAAAAACTGAGACATCTGGAAAGATGGAATAAAAAATATAATGAAAAATAGAGTATGTAACAGTACAAATGGTTAATGTAAAAGCAGCTCCAGGACACAGCCAAAAATCTCTTCACTTGGGACTGTGCTCCTCCTAGCTATTCACACAGGATCTGCTCAGTTGCTGAAAATTGCCAGCCAGGTGTGCAGTACATGAAAGGTAACAGTTCAGAGCACTGCCCTTTAGCCCCACTGTCTTTCACAGAAGACAGATTCATGATTGTCCTTTTTCCACCCACAAAAACAAAAATTTCACCAAAAAATGGTTCCTAAGGAGTCAGAAAGAAGTAAAACCAAGATGGTGAAAAATAATCCCTTCCTATCCTGTGACTTGGCAAGTTACCTGAACTGTTTATTACCCAGTTTCTCTGAAAGTAAGCTGTGATAAAAGGGTTCTCAGTGTTATGTTATTAAATGCAGAGGTATATTATCAAAGCCCTTCAAAATCTCCAAATGAAAAGTAGTTCATATTGCTCTCATGTACTTTTCTGTCATTATGTCAGTTCTCTAGATGACTGTGTCCTCTGCTAGTCATCCTTAAAGTAGGGGACTCTCAGTGTACCTTTCAAATTGTTCCTCACCTTCACACATCCTTGGCATTGGGAAGTCTCCAGTTCTCACCTTGCAATTTTCTGGCTGGCTCTAACAACTCTCAGTTTCTCATTTCTTTCAATGCTGGATCATTTACTTGAATCAGTTCTTTGAAAAAGTGACCTTTTTGCAGACCTCTGATGTATTTCTTCCTTCTCCAGGAAATCCAAGACAAATTGCTTTATTTTGAAGGTCTTGTTTCACTACTGCATCCTAGTTCTGCTGCTTTTTAATCAAACAGAGAGGTGTTTTGTCTCCACTACCAGACTTGTTTACCAGTAAATATTCAAAAAATATCAAGAACCAACATTCTACTTGCTCCCAAATTGCCTTTTATGCATGGGAGGAATTTCTTTAATTAATTTCGTCTCTGAAACTCTTTGCTATAATTCCAAACAGCTGCTGTGCTGTCTCCATTGTTAATGAGCTTTGTCTTCATATGGCTGGGAGAAGGACAGAAAGGGCCATGCTGACTAAAATTGTTTAAAATTGGTTTTCAGCATGCAAAATAAACTGGACTGCTCCTGCATGAAACTGATTGTAGTTTTACTCCCCCCTCTGCAAAAATTTAATCTGTCTGGCTAGTGAGAATGAGACTCACAGCAGGAGTTGAAGGTATTGACTTTTCCACTTTAAAAAAAAATATTCTTTTTGGCTTGGTTTTTTTTTTTTTTTTTTCCTTCAGATTGACTGAGGCTGTTTCATCTGAATTCTCACTCTTAAATAACTGTCCTAGTAGGAGCAGTACATTTCAACCTCATGCCATCCTTTGAAAATTTAGGCTAGCTGTTAGCTAGAGAGATGCAGCCTGACATTCTGAACCTACACACAGTGTGAAAAATTGCTTTGATCAGGTTGTGTTTATAATTTGAGGCAGTAAAGTAGAATTCTTACTAATTGTGTTTAAGGCATGATGTATTGTATAATCCACAGAGAAACTTGTTTCAAAAACAGTGTAGACATGAAAACAGCTGTTCCACTGAGTCATTTTCCCAGTGTGCAACTTAAAACAAAGCAAAACAGAGAAAAAGCCTCTCCCAGTTGTAACTTATTTGTGTTGATATGATTATGGAGTAGGATAATCCTAAAACTGTGGGGAAAAACAACCGAAAATTCATCTTCACATTCCTTTTTATACCAGAAATTTGGAAACAGAAGAGTCTTTGGAGTTAAAAACCAGAAAAAACTCTGTTTCAAAGAGGTAGTGGTACCTAAACTAAATTATGAACAGTAAGCCATGTATTGATAGTCCAAAATAATTTGCAAAGATAAGAATGAGTCTAAGATTAGAAGGAAAGGAATTAAAATAATGAAACAAGATACTTCAGTTCAATACCTAAAAAAAATTGATATCGCATATGGGCATGTGTGCATATTTTCATGGTGTTTAAGTATAATACTGGAAGAGAAGATAGTAAGGTCTGGTAAAGGAGGTGGAGGAAACTGCATTACATAAAAAGAGAATAAAGAAAAAAAAAAAGTACTGCAGGCACTGCATTTTCGTCAGTATAAATTTGAGTGAACAAGTGAACAGCCCTTTTCATATTTAGAATGACCGTTTATCACACTTGGCTTTTGGAGGGAAAATATAAACTAAGTTCTATCAAGATAAGCCTTATACTGAATTCCAAATTAGGGTGTTTTGGTTTGGTTTTGGTTTTTTTTGTTGAGGAAAAAAAAAGAATAAAACATTTATTATGTTTCTATTATATGACTGTTGTCAGTCATATATGTTGTCAGTCATGTATGTTGTCATTATATGTTCTGAGTCCAGAATTTAATTTCTGTAGATCTGCAATCCAGAGATGTTTACTTCCCGTATTGCATGCTTTGGAGATGCAAAGCTCCAAAAAACACAAAGATGTGACATGCACGTGTTTTTCTTGTTTGCAGATATTTCAATAAGCTTGCTCTCCTTAGTTGTCACAGCCTGTGGTCTTGCTCTTTTTGGTGTCTCTCTGTTCGTATCCTGGAAGCTTTGTTGGATCCCTTGGCGAGAGCGTGGTCTGCCATTTGGGAACAAAGACAACAAACAAGAATCACTGAACTACACAGATACAGAGACCAATGACCATGACTACAGTGAGGATTATCTGGGTCAGCCTACAGCCTATCCAGAGTCCTCCATGAAGATCAGTCACACCTCCCCTGATATTCCATTAGATGCTCAGGCAGGAACGAAGGAGAACTGCGTACACAATGTGCGAATGCATCGTCAGATCACTGAACCAACCTCTTCTGCTCGGTCAGTAACTCCAATTTCTCTCTGATATTAATGAATACAGATATAGCCAAAAGAGCACAGCTTGGTTATCCAGTACACTGATCTATTTAAAATGCATAATTTATTTGCCACATTCTTTAAAAAAAAAACAAAACAAAAAAAAAAAAACAAAAAAACCCCAAAAGTTATTCTTTGAGGCACACAAAGTTCTTAGGTTAAAAGGACAGGATCACAATGCTATTCCCTCCTCTATCAAGTACTGTCTCATTTGTGGCTCTCCCTCAGAAGCTGGACAATGCAGAGCGCTGTGTGTCCCTTAAAGCACCAGAACAGCCTAGATTTAGCTTGTAAAGCATATTCATTTGTACTTAGAACGGATGTTGAATGCACAGTAGTATCTCCTCAAAGATTTTTAAAACAGCCAAAGAAGAAAAGTAGGACAAGCTAATGAAACACTTGCAAGCGTTAGAAATAGGATTAAAAATCATAGATTTCATCCACAGTCATGACTGGCCGGAAAAGTGACTGAACAAGTGAGGTCTCCAGAGGAACTGGAGAACCAGTACAGGAGGGAAGAGGAAAGATGAAGTGTGATAGTGTGTGCAGGGGCAGGCGATAAAAGGATCAGCATGTGAAGAGCCAGTAAATTTCTGAGTCAAAGCAGATGCATTTCAGCTGGAAAGGTGCAGCACTAGCCCAATCACTTTTTGCTAGCCTTCTTTCTGGCCATCTGGTAGAGCAAGTTTAGCCAAGACTCGTGGCTGCTGGCACACCTGAACATGAGTAAGATGACAGCAGCTATCAGCCAGCAGCCAGTTCAGTAATTGCAAGTTGTCCAAAACATGTTTCAGAAAGAATTTGAGAAGTCCCCAGAACACTGTGAATGCTATGCAGCAAAAGCTCCAGGTGCCCTTCCTTCTTGGATTAGCATAAGAACGGTCTGGGTTTATACAGCAGAAATCTACAGGGAGGTCAAAGCCATAATTACGGATACCAAAGCTTGCACCCTACCACATGCAAGGTTGAATTCCAACTAAGGACTAATGGCCCAGAAGTACAGTACAGGGCTGCTGCTGCTGTGCTTTCAAACTGCTGGGAGATAAGCATGTCATGAGATTCATTAACAACAGAAGATTCATATCCAACATCTCACACCAAGAGCTCTCGTGTATCTTCAATATTATGAAAGTATTGAGTCAGATACAGGCTTTCTCTGCTACAGCAGGGCAGCAATTCTTATACTTAATCAAATGACAAATGTACAGTGTCACCACAGCATAGTCATCTCACAAGAAGCAGGAGCAATCCCAATCTGTAAAAGATCTTGCCTCAGCATCCCGAGTGGTTCTGGCAACTGTTCCCAGTCTGACTCCCTCCAGCAAGTGCTACAGTGGCTCTGTCCCCTGAGGCAAGACTTGGCCAGGGCCTACCCCTACCTTATACCATCTGCTGATAGAAACTTTGCTCTGTACTCCTCTTGCATTGCCCCTTACGTTTGCCCAGGTCTTCTCCAAAGGACTCTCTCACTGGGCAGGAGGGGCCCAACTTCCTTGTATTGCATCCTTCATTTGTTCATCTTTGTCTCTGGTGCTTGCTGGTGTAACTGGGTACCCAGCCATGTCTTTCCTCTGTGGCCACAGACACCAGGCACCTGCCCCTGCTGCAGTCCTTGCTAAGGTGTCTCCCCAGTGCCCTCCTTTTCATTCCTCCCCAGGATATTCTGCACCTGCCATTGCAATGAGGAGCTTAAAGGCTGAACAATAAAAATAATTTTTTGTGACATTATAATATTTTATCAAGGAAATTACTAATGTACTCCTATAAATTTATGTATTTATTATGCAACAAGAGAAAAATAAGGTAGTATATAAGGCTGTTCCTGTTTTTAGTACGCATAAACACATATTTACAAGGAATGAATGAACAATGATAGCCAAGGAATGATTGCTGATTACATTCAACATAAATAGCTTTGGAGTAATCCTGTGCTAGCATTTTCCACATGTTCTTTCTATGTTCAACCACAGCTCATGGTACGCCAATACACTGAATGATTGCTGCATATGAATAGGACAAAAAAGTGGAATCCAAGTCATATAAGATTCGGATTTTACCTAATCCAATTTTCACATCTCACTACCTTGACAGGGTTTGCAAATTTTATTTCTGTTACCATCTCATGAAGTGGAAATTTCAATCACAATAACTGAATGACTCCAGGTAATAAATTTCACTGGACCGAAGCTAAAGCAACTTTCTCTCTTTGGAATAATGAAACTAAAGGAGCTTTTCAGCCAAAGTACCACAGAGCTTATTACATCATGTATGAGACAAAAAACAAAACAGTTGTTGGGGTGGTCAACAAACCATTTCAGATCAGAGCAGCTCACTTATAAATGAAGTAGTCATGGAGATCAACAAGTAATTAAAATGCAGAGATGTCTGGAAGTAGCCTCCTTTGTGCAGCTTTAATTTAGAACCAGAAATCAGCAAGTTCAGCTGGCATAATAGGCCAGATCCTGCTGTCAGTTACATAATGTAACTCATCTCATAGGCATTAATCCAAAGGATTCAGTTGAAAATGGTACCTGATAAGAACAGCTACAGTTCTTATCATATCACATCATACTTGCCAATAAGGCAGATCCTTTGGATTTGCAGTGGCCATGAATTTGCATTTGTCACTTTCTTCAGCCGGTTTGGAGAGCGCAGACCACTAGCTTGAGACATAGGAACAGAAAATTATGTGATATTAGCAGTCTAATGCTGAAGGTGAGCTCTCACAACTGTTGGGTATCATGCTTTATCACTTTGCGAGTAAAAATCTGACTCCATTGTACATTACAAAAACATGTCAAATGAGAACAGGATCTTTAGTGTGTGTGCACAGATTCTTATCATCTTCAACACAATCCATTTCAATTCTTTTATTTTCACTTAAGGCATAATTCAATCCGAAGACAGCTCAACCTCTCCAACCCTGACTTCAACATCCAGCAGGTTCAGAAACAGGAGCAACTGACAGGGATTGGCCGCATAAAGCCAGAGCTATATAAACAAAGATCAGTGGACACAGACGATGGCCGGAGGAGTAATAGCAAGGAATGTGGAAAACTGAACTTTATTCTGAAATATGATTGTGATTTAGAGCAGCTGATAGTGAAGATACACAAGGCCATCAATCTTCCAGCAAAAGACTTCTCTGGAACTTCAGATCCATATGTGAAGATATATCTGCTTCCTGATAGGAAAACAAAACACCAGACTAAAGTGCACAGAAAGACCCTAAATCCAGTATTTGATGAAGTTTTTTTATTTACTGTCCCATACAATGATCTGAATGCAAGGAAACTCCATTTCTCTGTGTATGACTTTGACAGATTCTCCAGGCATGACTTGATTGGCCAAGTGATAGTGGATAATTTTTTAGATTTGGCAGATTTTCCCAGGGAATGTAATATTTGGAAGGATATTGAATATGTCACCAATGTAAGTATTATAATTTTTATTTTTGAAATTTTTTTGTTTGTTTCCTTAATCTGATTATAACTGAAATTGTCTGATAAATTTATGAAGGAAAATACTCTATTCTCTCTTTCTCAAGCTTTGACCTTAATCCAAGGAAATTGACAGTACTTTTTCAGTCCTTATTTCTTGTTCTTTGCATAAATTAAAGAATGTCTTATGTAGGAGATAGTGGGTTTAATCATTGAAAAGCTGGAGAATGTTTTTCTTTTAATCTTGCTTAATCTAAAATTTACTTAAGGAAATACTACTTTTCTTTATTTTGCCTGGATTTCTGTGTTTTGCATGACCTGCCACATAAATTACAGCGTACTAATCAGCCAGAATTGCAGACTCAAGATTTCTTTTGTAGTGATCTTCAGTCCTTCAAAAAACTATATTCTCATAACGTGAGAAAGCACCACATCTATAATCCAGACAAACAGAGTTCAAACAGTGCTGTTCCACAAAAGCAATGAAACACACTGAATTGATTTAATTTTTTGTTTGGCATTACTTTCTTCCATAGGGAAATGGAAAACTCATAAGTCTATATTTCTCTCATCCCAAAGTCTCTGGTATCAAATTCTATGCAAGAATACAGTTAGTGATTTGGTACAAAACCACAAAAATTACTTTTGGAAGAGTGAGCTTTCTTCTCAAAGCATGAGCCAACCTCTTTGTTATGCTATCAGAAATGAATCACACACATCCTATGGAGAATAGACCTTCAATGAGAATGATACATTACAGAAATCCACAAAGGTGAAGGTACTAGTGCCAAGAATCAGTAAATATTTCATTTGCTATGCCAAACCATACTCAAATGGAGTGCAGATTTTAGAGTCAAATAGACCAAACATCATTAACAGTAAGATCAAAGGGCAAGTTTGTTAGACCTCAGCTCAGAAAAGCATTTAAGCATATGGTAAATTGAGTGTAAGAAGCTGTTGAAAAGTAAAGGATGTTCTGACACAAATACTTTCCTGAATTCAGACTCTCACCTTATACTTCTGTGGTCTGGTAACATACCCATATTGCAGACCAAATTGATTAAATCCATTTTTCTGTTTGGAATTTTTGAAAATTGATATTGTCCTTGTTTTAAGGTGATTTCTCAGTGTTGTAAGTCAGTGTTACATATTTGTGTGTGGAACATGCTGTGCACCCACTGCACAGTCCTCTTCCACACTAGGATGGAACCACAGCAGCAGCACTAGCAGTTCCCTCACTCACGGTGCAGGCAGGGGCACGGACACTCACTGTCAGACAAAGATGAATCTTGCTTTTCTGTGAAAAGTTCCTGCTTTTCAACTGCAAGGGAAAAGTAAGAATCTGACAGAGCAGATGACAATCATTCCAAGTGAAAGCCTGTCTTCATACGTCATTAAGTGTCCCAAGCTCAACTTTTCAGTTTTACAATCAACTGAAAGTTGAATGCACATGCACACTGGAACTACTTTGATGTGTGCTAGTCCTTTTTCCATTTTTTTACTTAGGCAAAAGATTGGCTCTGGTATTTTCTTTTTAATCACTTCCCCTTCCAAATCTCAAAGCAATGTGGCATATAGTTTGTATTCAGATCTTCTGTAATCTCTGAAATTAAATTCCAGATGGAAAGAAGAGTCATTTATTAATTCTTACTAATATTAATACCTGTGTGAAGTGTAACCCTGTTTATCCAGACAGGACACATGACCTGCCATCTAGACTTGTCACTGCATTTTCAGCTAACAGCTTTTCAAAGCAAATGACTCAGTACATAGGAGACACGATCCACTTTTGGCTAATGTGAGTTCTGAGATAAGAGTGTCAGGTAAATGAAAGTGTGGGCTACTCAGCTTACTAATTAATATTTCCAAAATTTCAAAGGTTAGACCATATTCCAGAAAGTCATCCCTTCAAGCATCATCTAAGAAACCAAGTTTCAGCACATTTTCTTGTCTGTGTAGTCTAGATATCTCACAGACCGACAGCAGAAGCTGAATCCTACAGTCTACTTGGTGAAGCTGCTGAAGTGAATACTCCTGTGGCTGCAATCCAAACCAGGCCAGCATTCAGTAGTAGTGAATCTCTGAAATAAATCTTAGCCACGTTTTTGAGCATCATTGGGCAGTTTATGGTTGCAAACAGGAACTGTATCAACTGTAGCAGGTTTTCAATCATTTTATCTTTGAATGGCTTGTTGTTACAAATAGTAATAATTACAAAACAGATAAATGCTGGGCAAACTTACTGAAAGAAATTCACTCGATGTAGATCAGCAAAGAGTGGAGCACAGGAAGGATAAACCAAGGAAACATACTAGAAAAATGTAGGGTCCACACAACTCCGTATGACAAGTTTGACATACTTCTGAAGAGTACATTAATTTTAATTCCTTATACATTTTATTACACTGCATAAACAGCAATCCCAAAGGTCTTTATTTTACGTTCTCCATTTTATTATGTTCTAATCCAATTTGACACAGTAATATAAAAGAATGTATCAAATCTCCTCTGCTCAGCAAAATGGCCTACTTCAAGTGAGCAGTGCAGATTATGCCTGAAATATGAGCTTTACTCCAAACAATACCATTAAATTAACATATTATTCCATGTGTTTTCTTCTGTTTTCTAATAACACTGGAAGATTTTTTTATCCAAAACCAACAGTTTTGATTCTTTGGACTATAACATCTGCTACCACCCCAAAGTTTTAATTTATTTCATAACACAGATGCGTGTCAGCATAAAAATTTTCTACACGCTCAAAAGCAATCTGCCTTCAAACACAAATCTCCAATATCAAAATTATTGTTCTTCTAATCCCAGGTCCTCTGAGCATAAAATATCTCTCCTGTAACACTGACACTTTTTCTGACCAGAAAAAAAAGAGGCAGTGGGCTGTTTAATGGAAGAAATAATTAAGTGGATCAACTTTAGATGAACACGAAATGAACTAGATAAGCTTTTTGTATATCTACCAGACAGATTACACTGGTTTCTGGCTCATAAAGAAAAAAAGATGCTCTTTATTTTTAGGCTGGATTTCAGTAGTTGGTATGTTTTGTTTAGTAGCCTCTAAAACATTCAGGGTTTGGGGTGGGGGTTTTTTGTTTGCTTTTGTAATGTTCATAGACTGATGTCATGTTTTTAAGATAAAAGAGTTGTTAATATTTCCTTGGTTGCCATCTTCAAACTCAAATGTGATCAGGCAAAAATACATGGCTTTATCACAAAATAAAAGTTACGAAGTAACACATCACAGACTTTTAGAGAATGTATATGATTTTCTGAAAATCCAGAAGATATTTATGGATAGATTAAAGCCATAACGAAACACAAGCTGTATATCAAGTTGTTTACCCTGACATCCAGAACAAGCCAGTATATGCTAGAAGTTGCAAAGCCAAGAAATTGATTGTATCTCCTTTTAAGAATCTTCAAGCTTTTAGGGTATGTGTAGTAGTCAAGAATACAACAGTGTGTCAGATAATGCTGAATTCCTTTTGCACAGAAGCAGTAAATGAAACCGTATTTTTTTTTAAATAATGAATTAAAGTTGCATGTTGGTATTCATGCTAGTGTTTTGACAGAGAGAAAGTCAAAAAATAGGATGGTTATAAGTATTTGAAACTCTGCATTCTAGAAATGCTAATTGTTCACTGCTGTTGTTTTCAAGTTTGTCCAAGAAAGAAAGATTTCAGAATTTGTATTTTTAGGCATTTATGTTGTATAATTGAGATGCAACTGGAATTGTAACATCACCAGAAGGAAGTTTCAAGTTCCCCATTTCAGAGATGTTAATGCCAACCACAGTATGTGTGGAAGAGAGACAAAAAGAGACTAAATTATTTCAGTCAGTTGTTTATGAAAAGCATGATAAAAGTCTAAAATTTTGAAACCTGACCAAACCTACCAGATTTTTTGCAGTTCAAAACTGTTCTGTCCTCAAACTGAAAAAAACTCCCTCAAAGGTTGGATTGCTCATGACCATTCCTGCTAAGAGTCCCTGAACTATTTCATGTGTGCCAAATGCACATGCATAGCTGCAGGTCATAATCCTTAGGGTTTACATCCTCAAAATTTGAGGAAAACAAACTTCCTTCTTTGGAAGAAGTAGGTAAATACTGTCCCTAATTCATGGATAGTGGAACAGACTCAGACAAAAAGGATGTGACTTGCTCAAGACACGATGCTACTTAATAGGAGAAATGAGACCAGGTCCAGAATCTGCAGATTCCTGGCATCGGTCTTAATCCAGTCTATGTAGCACTGCCTATCTTCTTTGACAACATACAGATACTGTAGCTGGCAGTAAATCAACTCAGTCCACCTACTCTACTTTTAAAAAATGTTTAGCTTGTCAAGATATTTCAGCTAGTATTTCTAAAATTCCTGTTCTGTCAAGTTGCTGGGTTTAGAAAAGCGATTGCATTGAGTAAAATCTCAGAAAGGCATATAAAATGTTTACAATGGTTAACAAAAATTTTTGAGTCAACAGTTTGAGAAGGAACAGAAACAAACTAAATATCTGGGTCTATGTATGAATTTGAATCCAAACCATCAATTTTAAGTGCCAGATCTACATTTTAGGACTGTAGTAGTAAATGGGAAACACTAGTTGATTTCTTATGTAATACAGAAAACTTATCTGGTATTAACCTGATGATCCATTTGTTTAAAATGAGTAGGCTTTGGCATCAGGCAGGCAGTTGTTGATGTGGGCATGTACCTTCTTAATTGATTTGAAATGCAAATATCCCTAGAAATGATAGATTTGCAAACCTATGTGTCTTAAGGAGCAACAATAATTATTTAATGGCTAGAAAATTAAGGCAGTTAACACAAGAGGTAAGACTCACCTCACTTAAATTTTAGATTTATTTAAAAAAAAAAAAAAAAAACCACAACCAAACCCATAAGTACACATAAAAATACAGAAAGCATAATCGCCTTCAAGAGGCAGATCAATGGATATTCATCTTCTCCTTTGTCACA